TGGCTGGGATTAGCCCCACTATACAGATGAGAAAACTGAGGCTCAGAGTCACTGGGCTGGCAGGAAGTGGGACCTGCACCCAGTCTTGTCTGACGCTGAGCTCTTTGGCCTCCCTCCCTTACGGCTGCCTTCAGAAGGGACAGAGCAGAGGACCACCCCCTCGGGTGAGCACCAGACCACAGGGGCTGAGCATCCAAGGACCCCAATCACCTGGCTGAGAGCACCCCTGCTCCCATGGGGACACTGACGGCTCCGTGTGCCCGGCATTCAGGCCTCAAACCACCCACTCCGCACAGCACGGGGCTTCCTCAGAACGCGTCCCTCCCCAAGGGCCATTTCTCTGCGGGATGGCGCTGCTGCTGTGAGGACGACCCCTCCTCCCTCCTTCACAATGACCTGCCCTCACCTGACTTGTCTCTTGGCAGACGCTGTCCCACACATCTCTGTCATTTGCACGCCACCGTGATGATGGTCTTCCTAGCCGCAAGTGTGACAGGGCCTTTTAGTTTCCGACACATTCATAGCCCGATTTCACCTGATTTCACTTACGAAGGCAGGTTTCCCTTCCCAGCCTCACATAGGGGTGGTCTCAGCGGAGTTCAAGAGGCTGTGGGCTGGGAAGGGGGGCAGAAGAGAACCCAGCCCACCTCAAGCAGGAGGCGGCAGGATCCCTCCGCCGTCTGGAGACAGCCAAGGACCTCCACCACTGCAGTTCTCCACACTGAACCTGGCCACCCCCACTCCACACTGGGACAGATGCTAGAGGGGCAAACCCCAAATACCCTCCCTAACCAGAAACCGAAATCCACCAGATCCCAGCCCGGCCTGGCCAGATAGGCTGACTTTCCAACGCAGTCGAAAATACAGATTTTTATAACTAAAATGTAAATGTTGGCAACTAATTTATGTTCAATCGTTTTTTTGTTGTTTTGTTTTGTTTTTTTCTGTTTTTGTTTTGTTTTGTTTTGTTTGCATAGAGGGCTTTCTGGGTGCAAACCTGACCCCACCTGGGAGCAGGCCCCGGGCTCCACTCCTGGTGAAGAGCCCTCAGACCCATAGGAGGGGCTTGTCAATATCACCTTCTCAGGTGAGCCTCATACATAAGCAGGTGCGGTGGGTTAACCAAGCCTACATCTTTAACCATGTGATAACCACAGTACCAGGGTTCTGCCATCAAATCTTTTCTATCCTCAGTCCTGCCTTGGGAATTCAGACTCACCCAGAATTCAGAGTTTCACAGACCCAGAAGAGAATGTGATGCCAGATTGTTCTGAATTGTTTGGTTTTAAAGCAAGATCAAATGATTACATTTGTGATCTGAAATCATTTGTTTGTGTCATGCCAAGCTAAATCTCCTCCACATTATTTTCTTTAAATTCTCCCCAGAACGGGGAGCAATATTAATTGTTTCCAATGAAAAGACTGCCCCTTTCATCAAAGCCGTGAGCTTTATCTGCTGCTTTTGAATCTAACGCTGGCTTGGGGAAAGGATTGTAAATAGCAGGTCTTCTTTGTGCACTTTATGCTTCCAAATGTGCTAGTTGGAATAAAGGAGTGAAAAGTTAAAAAATCCTCTCTTGTAAATGTTTAGAAATTGCACTAGAGTTATGTCTTGCTCTTCAAGGGGAGAGGTCACCCACCCAAGGCACAGTCACAGCTGTTCAGCTCCCCTGGGTTCCGAATGTCACTAGATCTTGGCTTCCCTCTGACCTTGGCAGGTCAGACTGTGAAGGACACTCACTGTCTGAGTGACCTCACACCAGGTACAGGGATGGGGGAAAGAGGCACATCTGGCTCGTAGGATGGTCCTGCATGGCCACTTTTCTGGCAGGGAGGTGACACCTGCAAAGGAATCTCTCATTTCTCCCAGCTCCAGTCAGTTTCAACAAGAGGCGGGATTTTCTTTCCTCTCAATTATTATAGTATTTTTTCTAATAGTCAAAGTCACAGCTCATTTTGAAAGTTTTTAAAAATAGAAGAAAACAAGCTTTTAAATCACAAGTGACTCCAACACCAAAGATAAGCAGCATTCGCATTTTGCTCTGTAGTGCTCCTGTTAGACAATACACGCATATTATCACACTTATGCACTTACACATATTTGCTTCATTAAAATACAATAAAGCTTTATGGGCCTGGCGCAGGGGCTCATGACTGTAATCCCAGCACTTTGGGAGTCCAAGACAGGAGGATCACTGAAGGTCGGGAGTTTGAGACCAGCTTGGACAACATGGTGAAACCCCAGCTCTAAAATACAAAAATTAGCTGGGTGTGGTGGCATGTGCCTGTAATCTCAGCTACTCGGAAGGCTGAGGCAGGAGAATTGTTTGAACCTAGGAGGTGGAGTTTGCAGTGAGTCGAGATCGCACCATTGCACTCCAGTCTGGGCAACAGAGTGAGACTCTCTTAAAAAAAAAAAAAGAGCTTTGTTTACACTAAACAATATTTTGTGTCCATATTTACATATTGATAACAACAGATCACTATAGTTTTTGGTGTGGGCATATGTAGATATAATTATTAAACAAATTTCCTACTTATTATCCAGTTACGGTTGTATCACCTATCAGTGATGTAACTTCAGCCAAGATGGAAGTTTATCTCATAAAAACCAAGACTGGGCTGGACACAGTGACTCATGCCAGTAATCCCCACACTTTGGGAGGCTGAGGCGAGTGTTTCACTTGAAGTCATGAGTTGGAGGCCAGCCTGGTCAATATGGTGAAACCCTGTCTCTACTAAAAAATCTGCGTGCTATAAAGGAATTCCTGAGACTGGGTTCTTTATAGAAGAGAGGTTTAATTGGCTCACAGTTCTGCAGGCTGTACAAGTATGACACCAGCATCTGCTCCTGGGGAGGCCTCAGGAAGCTTCCAATCATGGCAGAAGGCAAAAGGGAAACAGGTACATCACATGGTGAGAGAAAGAGCAAGAGAGGGAGGAGGACGTGCCAGGCCCTTTAAACAACCAGATCTCCCATAAACTCAGAGCAAGAACTCAGTCATTGCCATTGGGACGGCACCAAGTCTTTGTGAGAGGGATCTGCCCACATCACCAAAACGCCTCCCACCAGGCCCCACCTCCAACATCAGGGATCACATTTCAACATGAGATTTGGAGAGGACCAACATCCAAACCATATCAAGACAGAGGTTATAGAAGGGAGTTTCCAAAAATGCCACCCAACAATTTTATTACCTCCCATTGGCCAGAACCTGGTCACATGACCACAACTCACTGCAAGGAAGCCTGGGAAAATGTAGCCTGCCCACCCACTAGGAGAGGGGAGCACTGGTGCCAGGGTGCGGGACCACCAGTGGGCATTCATGCTTCCAACTTCTTTCTTTTTATGAAAATCCTTACAGATCCATCTTTCCATATTTTTCTGACTATTTCCTAGGGACAACTGCCTATAAATGAAATTTGGGACCAAAAGTTATGTACTTTCATTGGCCAGTTGCCAAATTGCCCTCTAGAAAGGTTGTACCAATGAACTCACCAAGAGGTGGGGTTCTATTGCATGAAATGTTTCTCCACCCCACGATTCCTTTTAATCCACATCCTTTGCACATCTCTTCAGAATCCCCGCTTCCTACATCATAACCTTGGGATTTAATACATGATTTTCATTCAGGTTATTACTGATATCAGATTTACCTGGCTATGCATGAACCCAGCCACAGCTTTAGGGAAAGGGATGTCTCTTTCAGCGGTGAAGAGAATAAAAACTAATAATCCTCAGAGATTTTGAAAAACTAAATTGGGCAGGGAAGGGTGGAAAGAACCGATCTCATTCTATGAAGAGCACGGAGGGATTTTCACGGCGCATGTGGTGCTGAGTACAGCAGACCAGGCTCCCAGGGGCACCCAGAGAGCAGCGTTTCCTCAACAGAAGAGGAGTGAGCACTGCACAGAGTTGCAGAAAGGGAATCCCGGACAGGGGTAACAGTAGATGCAAAGGCCCCACGGCAGGCACTGGCTTGGCCTGCTGGAGGAGCAGAAAGGAAGCCAGTGTGTCTGGAGTAGAGGGGACCGACTTGTCCAGGTTTGCCCAAAACTTTCCTGGTTTTAACACTAGAAATCCCATGTCCCAGGAAACTTCTGAGTCTCAGCCAAGCTGGGATGCTTTGCCTGGAACTGCCCATGTTATAAAACTGAACGGTCTGTGCCCCACAACCCCCCTCAGTCCAGAGAAAGCTGAGGCAGTGGGTCACCCTAGACTGGAGCAACATGCATGACGGTGGGAAGAGTCAGTGATTCTCTTTCATGTCCTCTCTCCCCTCGACCTCAGGAGTCACCCAGGTGGGCACTGGCATCCAGGATGAAAACTTCCCAGCATCCCTTGCAGCAAGCAGTGGCCACGTGACCAGGCAGTGGCCAATGCACATGAGGCCAGTGCACAGCAACTGCCTTTAGAGGAAGGGAGGTTTGTGTCCTCTTATTCTCTTCTCCCCTCCCTGCTGGCTGGTGGTAGATAGGATGGACACTGTGGGGAAGCTACACCCAAAGGAAGTCAGAGCAGCAAGATGGAAGTAGCCTAAGACCCTGAAAAATGCACAGAGAAGAATCACCCGACTGGCTTGTACTTTCATGTGAAAGGAATGAACCTCTGTCTCAGTAAAGCCACCGTGATTCAGGGTCCTTGTCATATTCACTGAGGCTGTAACGTAATTGTTAGAAAGAATAGGAGGGGAGATGGAGTCGGAGAGGCAGGCAGAGGTAGATCACATCAGGCATGTAGGCCAAGGCGGAGGAAGAAACAGGCGACACAGGACTCAAGGACCACACCTGCTCCCAGGCGAAGGGAGTTTGCTGTGGGTGCCCCTCCCTGTCCGTGTGTCCAGTGTGTGGATATTCTTTATACCTTACCCGTATTGTACAAATACTTTTTTCTATTCAATATTTAGAAGACATTGCATTAAATAGCAAGATGGCAGATGAACATCAGGAAGGAACATTAGGAACATCCACGGTGTTCCATCCAGGAACCTTCACCATGGAAACCCTTGTGCTCATGGGCCTGGTCTCAAGACGCAGTCAGCTGTTGGGGATCAGAGGCCGCACTCATCGTAGCAGAGAGGCAGGACCAGCTGGGAGAGGGTCCTTCTGTGACACCAAGCATCACCGGGCTGTGGGAAGTGACTCAGCTGCCAGAACTCACACAATATCATTCTGCACCAAAACCTCACGGGAAAAATGGTATTTATTTTTTTTTTTTTTTTTTTTTTTAAGGAGTCGTCTCCACCAGGGTGCAGTGGGATCTGGCCTAAGCTCGCTGGTCAGCATTCTTCTCCTCCAGTCTATACAGCACCTCTAATTTTTGTTTTTATAGAGATTCCGTCTGATCCCTCCATCCGCTCTCCATGAAACAACATTTATAGCTGGCTGGGCCTATTTTTCAATGTATTTTTTATTTTCTCATGAAAAATTATATAGATTGATTGTGTTATATTCAATATATATTATTATAATATTAAATATATATAGATATAATATGTTATATGTATATATACATAGTGTGTGTGTGATTTTGCCTCTGCCAGTCAGGATAATCATGGTTTAATTCCTAGTATTATTATTACCAACATCTTTTAGTTTTTTTAAGCTTTTCAATTCCTAAGGGTATTAATCAGGATCTTTCTGCCTCGTGAGACAGAAAATAAATCCAAACTGTGTAAGAGGAAAAAGAACACTCATCACTAGCATTTAGAAGTTCCCAAGCTTAGCTTGCTTGGGGTATAGCTAAATCTAGTTTCCAGGGTCATCCTGTAACTCTCTCTCTCTACTTCCTCAACTTTGGCTCCATGTTTAGCTCCATGACCCTCAGACTTAAACAGCAGCACTGGCTCCTCCCCAGATCTCCAGCTCCCTGACCCTCAAACTCCAACTCCAGCACCAGCTCCGCCCGGGTCTCCAGCTCCACCATCCTCAAACTACAACAGCAGCACCAGCTCCCGCGTGGATCTCCAGCTCAATGACTCTCAGACTTGGGAGGCAGCACCGGCTCCCCACCAAGACTCCAGCTCTACAACACTCAAACTAGAACAGCAGCACCGGCTACTCCCTGGCTCTCCAGCTCCCTCAAACTTCAACGATAGCACTGGCTGTTCCCCGGGACCACCAGCTCCACAACCCTCAACTTACATGGCGGTAGCACCAGCTCCTCCCTAGGTCTCCAGCTCCACGACCATCAAACTTGAACCGCAACACCAGCTCCTCTTCAGCCTCCAGCTCCACAATCCGCAAACAACAACAGCAACACCTGCGCCTCCCTGAATCTCCAGCTCAACAACTCTCAGACATGAGAGGCAGCACCAGCACCTCCCCAAGGCTCCAGTTCCACGACCCTCAGATTTGAACAGCGGTAGCACCACCTCCCGTGCAGGTCTCCAGTTTCACGAACCTTAAACTAGAACAGCAGCACCATCGCCTCCCTGGGTTTCCAGCTCCACGACCCTAAGACTTGAATGACAGAACCAGGTCACCCCTAGGGCACCAGCTCCGAGACCCACAGATTTGAAAGGCAGCGCCGGCTCTTCCCGGGATCTCCAGCTCCACAGCCCTCAGACTAGATCAGCACCACCGGCTCCCCTCTGGGTCTCCCTTCAGCTCCACAATCCGTAGACATGAACAATAGCACCGGCTCCTCCCTGGGTCTCCAGCTTCACTCCCCTCAGACACAAACAGCAACAGCACCAGCTCCTCCCCCTGTCTCCAGTTCCACGAACCTCAAACTACAACAGCAGTACCAGCCTCTCCCCAGGCCTCCAGGTCCAAGACCCTCAAAATACAATGGCATGACCGGCTCCTCCCTGGGTCTCCAGCTCCCAAACCCTCAAACTTCAAGTGACACACCGGACCCTCCCCACAGTTAAACAGCAGCACAGGCTCTTCCCCAAATCTCCAGATCCACGACCCTCTGACTTAAGTGCTTAAAGCACCGGCTCCTCCCAAGGTCTCCAGTTCCACGACAATCAAACTATACAGCAGCACTAGCTCCTCCCCAGGCCTACAGCTCCACCACCCGCACACTAGACACCGAGACTACCTCCTCCCCGCGCTCCAGCTACATGACCCTCAGACTTGAAGAGCAGCAGCAGCTCCTCCCTGTACCTCAAGCCCCATGACCCTCAGACTTGAACAAGAGCAACACCAGCTCCCCCACAGGGCTCCAGCTTCAGGACCCACAGATATAAACAGCAGCACCGGCTCTTCCTGAGACCTCCAGCTCCACTACCCTCAAACTGGAACACAGCACCAGCTCCTCCTTGGGTCTCCAGCTCCACGACCCTCACACTAGAACAGTAACACCGGTTCCTCCCTGGATCTCCAGCTCAATGACTCTCAGACTTGAAAGGCAGCACCGGCTCCTCACAAAGGTTCTGGCTCCAAGATCCTCAAACTAGAAAAGCAGCAGCTGCTGTCCTTGGGTCTCCAGCTCTACCACCCTCAAAGTAGAAGAGCAGCCCTGACTCTTGCCTGAGTCTCCAGCTCCTCAAGTCTGAGGGTTGTAGAGCTGGAGACCCAGGGAGGAGTCAGTGCTGCTGTTCTAGTTTGAGGGTCGTGGATCTGGAGACCCAGGGAGGAGTCAGCGCTGCTGTTCTAGTTTGAGGGTCGTGGATCTGGAGACTCAGGGTGGAGCCGGTGCTGCTGTTCTAGCATGAGGGTCGTGGAGCTGGAAGACCCCGAGAGGAGCTGCTGCTGCTGTCCTAGTTTGAAGATCATGGAGCTGGAGAACCGGGAAGGAGCCATTTGAACAGCAGCGCCGGCTCCTCCCCAGGTCTCAGGCTCCATGACCCTCAGACTTAAAAAGCCATAGTACGGGCTTCACCCTGGGTCTTCAGCTCTACAGCCCTCAGACATGAGGAGCAGCAACACCGCCTCCTCCCCCTGTCTCCAGTTCCATGAACCTCAAACTACAACAGCAGTACCGGCCTCTCCCCAGGTCTCCAGATACACGACCCTCAAAATAAAATGGCATCACCGGCTCCTCCCTGGTTCTCCAGCTCCCAAACCCTCAAACTTCAACTGACACACCGGATCCTCCCCACAGTTAAACAGCAACACGGGCTGTTCCCCAAAGCTCCAGATCTACGACCCCCTGACTTAAATGGCGGTAACACCAGCTCCTCCCTAAGTCTCCAGTTCCACGACCCTCAAACTACACAGCAGCACCGGCTCCTCCCCAGGTCTACAGCTCCACCACCCTCACACTAGACACCGAGACTACCCCCTCCCTACTCTTCTGCTACACGATCCTTAGACTTGAACAGCAGCAGCGGCTCCTCCCTGTACCTCAAGCCCCGTGACCCTCAGACCTGAACAACAGCAACAACAGCTCCCTCCGGTGTCTCCAGCTCCATAACCTTCAGCCATAAACAACAGCAGCACCAGCTTCCCCTCCCCCAGTATCTCCAGCTCCACCACCCTCATACTAGAACAGCACCAGTCCTCCCTGTGTCTCCGGCTCCATGATCCTCAACCTACAACAGCAACACCGGCTCCTCCCTGGATCTCCAGCTCAACAACTCTCAGACTTGAGAGGCAGCACCGGCAACTCCCCAAGGCTCCAGCTCCACCACCCTCAGATTTGAACAGCAGTAGCACCACCTCCTATCCACGTCTCCAGCTTCATGAACCTTAAACTAGAAAAGCAGCACCGCTGCCTCCCTGGGTTTTCAGCTCCAAGAACCTAAGACACGAATGGCAGAACTGGCTCCCCCGCAGAGCTCCAGCTCCAGGACCCACAGATTTCAATGCGAGCACCAGCTCCTCCCGGGATCTCTACCTCCACTACTCTCAAACTAGAACAGCAGCACCAGCTCCTCCCCCTGTCTCCACTTCCATGACCCTCAAACTACAACAGCAGTACCAGACTCTCCCCAGGTCTCCAGATACACGACCCTCAAAATACAATGGCATCACCGGCTGCTCCCTGGGTCTCCAGCTCCCAAACCCTCAAACTTCAATTGACACACTGGATCCTCCCCACAGTTAAACAGCAGCACAGGCTGTTCCCCAAAACTCCAGATCCACGACCTTCTGACTTAAATGGCGGTAGCATTGGTTCCTCCCTAGGTCTCCAGTTCCATGACCCTCAAACTCCACAGCAGCACCGGCTCCTCCCCAGGTCTACAGCTCCACCACCCTCACACTAGACACCGAGACTACCTCCTCCTCTACACGACCCTCAGACTTGAACAGAGGCAGCAACGCCTCTCTGTACCTCAAGCCCCATGACCCTCAGATTTGAACAACAGCAACACCATCTGCCCCCCAGGGCTCCAGCTCCAGAACCCACAGATTTAAACACCAGCACCAGCTCATCTCTGGTTCTCCAGCTCCACAAGCCTCAGTCATGAACAACAGACCCGCTCCTCCCTGAGTCTCCATATTCACTGCCCTCACTAGAACAGCAACACCGGGTCCTCCCTGGATCTCCAGCTCAATGACTCTCAGACTTGAAAGGAAGCAACGGCTCCTCTGTGGGTCTCCGGAACCACGACACTCAAAAAAACACGGATCCTCCCTGGGTCTGCAGCTCCACCAACCTCAAACTAGAACAAGACCCTTCCTCACTGGGTCGCCAGCTTCCAGACCCTCAAACTACAACATTGCTCCTCCCTGGGTCTGCAGCTCCATGACCCTCAAACCAGAACAAGACCTCTCCTCCCTGGGTCGCCAGGTTCCAGACCCTTGAGTTTCAACAACATTGCTCCTGCCTGAGTGTGCAGCTCCACGACCCTCAAACTACAACATAACCTCTCCTCCCTGGGTTGCCAGCTCCCAGACCCTCTTACTACAACAACATTGCTCCTCCCTGGGTCTGTAGCTCCACGACCCTCAAACTAGAACATGACCTCTCCTCCCTGAGTCGCCAGGTTCCAGACCCTCAAACTTCAACAACATTGCTCCTGCCTGGGTCTACCTCTCCACGACCCTGAAACTAGAACAAGACTTCTCCTCCCTGGGTCTCTAGCTTCCCAACCCTCGAACTTCAACAACATTGCTTCTCCCTGGGTCTGAAACTCCACGACCCTCAAACGAGAACAAGTCCTCTCCTCCCTGGGTCACCAGGTTCCAGACCCTCAAACTGCAACAACATTACTCCTGCTTGGGTCTGCAGCTCCACGACCTTCAAACTACAACATGACCTCTCCTCCCTGGGTCGCCAGGTTCCAGACCCTCAAACTTCAACAACATTGCTCCTCCCTGGGTCTGGAGCTCCACGACCCTCAAGCTAGAACATGACCTCTCCTCCCTGGGTCGCCAGGTTCCAGACCCTCGAACTTCAACAACATTGCTCCTGCCTGGGTCTGGAGCTCCACGACCCTCAAACTAGAACATGACCTCTCCTCCCTGGGTCACCAGCTCCCACACCCTCTTACTACAACAACATTGCTCCTGCCTGGGTCTGTAGCTCCATGACCCTGAAACTAGAACATGACCTCTCCTCACTGAGTTGCCAGGTTCCAGACCCTCAAACTTCAACAACATTGCTCCTGCCTGGGTCTGGAGCTCCATGACCCTGAAACTAGAACATGACCTCTCCTCCCTGGGTCGCCAGCTCCCAGACCCTCTTACTACAACAACATTGCTCCTGCCTGGGTCTGGAGCTCCATGACCCTGAAACTAGAACATGACCTCTCCTCCCTGAGTCGCCAGGTTCCAGACCCTCAAACTTCAACAACATTGCTCCTGCGTGGGTCTGGAGCTCCACGACCCTCAAACTAGAACATGACCTCTCCTCTCTGGGTCGCCAGGTTCCAGACCCTCAAACTTCAACAACATTGCTCCTGCCTGGGTCTGGAGCTCCATGACCCTGAACTAGAACATGACCTCTCCTCCCTGAGTCGCCAGGTTCCAGACCCTCAAACTTCAACAACATTGCTCCTGCCTGGGTCTGGAGCTCCATGACCCTCAAACTAGAACATGACCTCTCCTCCATGGGTTGCCAGCTTCCAGACCCTTGAAGTTCAACAACATTGCTCCTCCCTGGATCTGCAGCTCCACGACCCTCAAACTAGAACATGACCTCTTCTTCCTGGGTCACCAGGTTCCCAACCTCTTACTACAACAACATTGCTCCTCCCTGGGTCTGCAGCTCCACGACCCTCAAACTACAATAAGACCTCTCCTCCCTGGGTCGACAGCTTCCAGACCCTCTTACTACACAACATTGCTCCTCCTGGGTCTGAGCTCCAGACCTCAACAGAACAAGACCTCTCCTCCCTCAGTCTCCAGCTTCCCAACCCTCGAACTTCAACAATTTGCTCTCCCTTGGTCTGCAACTCCACGACCCTCAAACGAGAACAAGACCTCTCCTCCCTGGGTCGCCAGCTCCCAGACCCTCAAACTTCAACAACATTGCTCCTGCCTGGGTCTGCAGCTCCACGACCCTCAAACTAGAACATGACCTCTCCTCCCGGGTCGCCAGGTTCCAGACCCTCAACTTCAACAACATTGCTCCTGCCTGGGTCTGGAGCTCCATGACCCTGAAACTAAACATAGACCATTGACCTCCTCCCTGCCCTGGGGTCTGCTCAGCTTCCCCAGACCCTCGAACTTCAACAACATTGCTCCTGCCTGGGTCTGGAGCTCCACGACCCTCAAACGAGAACAAGACCTCTCCTCCCTGGGTCGCCAGCTCCCAGACCCTCAAACTTCAACAACATTGCTCCTGCCTGGGTCTGCAGCTCCACGACCCTCAAACTAGAACATGACCTCTCCTCTCCGGGTCGCCAGGTTCCAGACCCTCAAACTTCAACAACATTGTTCCTGCCTGGGTCTGGAGCTCCATGACCCTGA